GATATATAACGTTGATGGGTAAACTGTTCACCTGTATGCTAGAGATACAAGACTTAATGGTTTCAATTTTTTTTTTTATTTATATCCCAATTACTATACACACCATTTTGAGCTATTAGCTCTTTTATGATAATATGAAAATATTCTTCTTCAAAGAGATATTGGACAAAAAATAGTCGACGAAATCACTTGTTGCTTTCTGTGATCCACAGTACAACAAATTAAAATAATAATAATGTCATTATTATTATAAAATAATTATTAGGTCATCTAGTAATCTGTTTTCTATTTTTCTAACAACTTTGATCTTTATTTAATACTTTCTAAAAATATAGCCAGTGCCCAAAAAAAGAACTCACAGCTGGAGAAGATTTGACTGTGATTCACAAAAGTGTGTGTTATTATAAGTAAGAAGCTGCCATTCCAAGCAGGGGTGTCAAGGAGGGGGATTCCATGGCGCAAGGTGCTCCATTAAAATATTTGAGGGGGGCACATTTTGACGGGGTTTTGAATTTTCGAGGGGGTCACATTTCGACAGGGTTCAATTTTCGGAATAAAAAATTTTAACCAAGCGACAAAGAGAAAACATGGACGAGACAAATTTATGATCTACATTTTTTCTAAATCTTCTTTCAAGCAAACAAAATATGCAATTGCATAAAAATCTGCGCTCTGAATTTGCTGAAAGTGAATGGGCAATTGTAACTACCTTAGTTATCAACTTTGTCAAAAGCTGAGATATATTTCTATGAATGACTCTTTCGTTGTGAAATGAGCTTTCTAAGATAAAAAAAAAAAACATACTAGAGAAATAAAAGCTGTAGGAATCTTGCGTTTAAGTGATTCGATAATTTTCATATTTTGTAAATAATTTCCAGTATAGTTACCACGTAATCTAAGAAACTTTCCCGAGTCTAGTTTGGAGTCCTCCGGCTTATACTGAAATAAGTAAACATTTATTTGTTACTGTTCTTGATGTTTTTGTGGCGCATATGCTGACGCTCTATAACGGTCCCATCCATTTCTTCCCGATAATAAATAAACCTCGGAGTATTCTTTGATCAGAACCTCTTGGAATAACCACATTTCCCAGATTACCCGTAAATCCATAGCAATCCTTAAACGATTCCGTGATTCTATTCCAGAAAAAAACAGACAGCTCCTTGTAACATTCCTTGTTTTTCCACTCTTCGATTGCTTGGTGTATGGAAGGCTGTCCACAAGACTGGAAGGAAGACTGAAGAGACTTATGAATTGTTTCATAAGATTTATCTTTGGGATTCCCAGGCGTTTTACAGCTTGTACATTGAGTCAAAGTGGCTCTATTCTGCTTCCCGACGGCAGTTCCTTCTTGGTATTTTTCTTTCCAAAAGTCCTCAGGACCAAAAATCCTCCCTACATCCTAGAACTCCTTACTCAACGTTCCTCTATCCACTCTCTTAATACCAGATCTCAGCCTATAGATCTACATATTCCCTACTACCTATACTCCCTACTATAATACCACTTACTTCAGCAAATCCTTCGTCATTCGTGCTACCTCCTTTTGGAACTCCTTACCTATATGTCCAACCACATTCACAAGTTCCTTCAAACGATTCCTATTCCACCACCAACTACAAGTTCAATCTTCCGCAAGCATGTAAGAATTTTTAGGTTAAGTAACTACAGTTTCTCACCAGCAGCTAATTGATAAGAGCTATTTTATTTTAATTTAATTAATTTTCTGAATATATATTTGTATTTTCCTTAGTATTTTTGTAAAAATTTGTATTTTCCTTAGTTTTTTTTTTTTTTGTATATATCTGTATTATATCTAAATGTTAGACTGATGTACATATGTTTTGAACTCTGCTATTATTCTGAGGGGACTTCAGTTACAGAATAAAATGATTTTTCATTTCCTTTCATTTAAAATGTCGCCAATTTGTATCTGTCAATAAAATATGATTCAATTATCACCATAATAAGCTCATTCATTTTACAAACATTATTAGTATAAGTGAAAACCCTTATAGAAACTAATTAAAAATAAGAACAACTAACTTATTGTTTGTATACGAGACAATAAGGAATTTCTTTAACAATGCCACTCTGTAAGGAAATATTGCTTGCCTTGATTGGCGCCATTCCTACCGATAAGAAAAGAATATCATATTGCTCATATTTATCAAAGTTACAATTGCGATACAATAAACAGATTGCATGGATCAAGAGCTTTTGTATAAATATTTATTTAAGTCTCGGGTCACTGGGTGTAGCGAAAATATTTTTTTTCCCTAAATGTTTTAATCAGCAAATAATTTTTCATATTAAATTAAAACAGTTCAACAATACTAACTCTCTTAAAATGTGTGGAAATATACCACTTTTTTAAATAGCATTTATCAAAACTATGAGAACTAATTTTAATTACTACCCAAATTATACCTATTGAACTAATATTAATTTTTGTGTAGGTGAGGAGCAAAATATACTATAATGACAGTAGTCCTCGGTTTTTTTTTCTTGTATAACAATATATATAAACAGAAAACAGAAATTGGCACATATGTAAAAATAATAGCTCTTATTTTATTAAATATAAATAAATATAAGGGAGAAGGGAATGGAATTGGTAAATAAGATTAATACAAAGTTGAATCCCAGATAACAAAATAGCAAGGTACTAAAAATGGACAACTAAAAATGTATTTTTAAAAATTTTAAATGATGACAAAATGTTACTCATGGATTAAAATGACAAAGAGATTGATGTTAACAAAATTGGCCTTTAAAGATGGGCCTTAAACGTCGATGAAAATAAAATGAATAAATTATATCTCAAAGTAAAAATATATACAAAAAAAAAAAAAAAAAAAAATGGATCACTTAAAGTCTTCTTCATAAAATAAAAAAAAAAAATGGATAATGGTAGTAATTAACCATATAATATGTCTTTAATATTATTAATATCAATCTAATTGTATAAGATTTTAAAGCAATTTTAGATTAAAAATAAATGATGCCGGAGGTTATTCATAAATTTAGGGTTATTTATAAATTTTATGAATTAAAAATATTTTTTTCATTCATAACGAAATTCTCGATAACCATGCCAGTACGTTCAGAAAAACTAAGAACACTTTTTTTTTTTTTTTTTCTAAGAATAAATAAAAATAGATTTATATTGAAATACTATTGTAATAATTAATATAAATACATACTTATTATATAATACTGAAATAATATATATTCCAAATATAAATAATTCCTTTATTTGTTTTTAATAAAAGACATTTCATGGACCAATAAAACGTATTAATATATTTGATGCCATTAAATATTTAGTCGAAACTTCATTTTTTAATGAATTCATTAAGGGATCATTTGTTCAAAACTAATTAATATCAAAAAGATCATAATAGTTCCATTAATAAGTGGTCCAGTTATATTATCACTTATCTTTTACTGCTTAGATGAATTTTTTTCCTAATATTTTTTGTATACCTTGGTATATAAGATATAAATTAACCTTTAATATATCTTATTGGTAAAGTTTATAGTTAATGTAACAGCATATAAAAAAAAAAAAAAAATTCTTGATGAGATGGTAGCAGAATAAAAGAAGAAAACTTTCCTTATACTATCTCACAATTTATTCAAAATTTTACAAAAACATACATATGTTCACTAAGCTATTGGAATACATTTGATATGAGTAAATATACATATACAAAATATTGTAAACATTATAGATAAAATGCAATATTGAAAATACAGAAAATACTAAAATTAAATTTCGAAATATTTAAAATTTACCAATGTTCATATTGTTAACTTGTGGTATTGTAAGATATTAAAGATTTTATGATTACATTGAAGGTACAGTGCATACAAAAAAAAAATATATATAAAATAAATCCGACACCATGAAAATAAAAATAAAAAAAAGCTAATATTTTTTAAAATATGTCAAGAAAAGCTGAATCCTAGATGGACATTTTGGGCTTCTGAAATGGACTTGAAGAAACACATTCATCAGAATTCTGGAAATATTGAAATGAATTAGAATAAAAAAAACAAACATAAAATAACTGAAATAAAAAAGACTTATGAACAAATTAAATAACTAGAGGGTAATGTATTCAAAGTATCTCATTAAGGTTCAGTATCACTAAATACTTCCTCATTAACTTGTGATAGATTACAGAACGAATAGATTTAAATAAAATAGATTAAGAACAGACCACCATGTCATAAATCCAACATAATCAAAAAGATATAAAGATTTTCGTCATATAATGTTTATTACATAAGTATCACCAGAATTCTTAACCTACATGTTCCAATTTTACCAGATTTTTCGTAAGTTAGTTACACTGACTATGGGAGAACTGTAAATATATTTTTCTTGAGTATTTTTTTTCTAATATAGATTTTTAAAAGTTACTGTAATAGCCAAGTTTCAACATGTTTTTAGTTACAAAACTGCTTTTAGATTTACAACCAATAGTATTACAGAGATGTTTGATAACTTAATTTATAGCTGATTCATTATATGGGTTTTCATTTGACACGTCGAGCAACCAAAACAAAATTTGACAAAATCAAAAAACCTTCAAAATTTTGAAAAACAAAACAAAACATGAAAGCTTATATTAATATTAAAATGAATTATAAGTGATAACTCTAGCAATATAGGTTGTAAATTTAAAACCATTTTTATGATAAAATATATAGTGAAATTTGGCTATTTCTATAGTTTTTACAAATATATAATGAAAAAACTACTCATGAAAAAATAGATTAGTAATGTATTGAGCAGACGTAACTAGCTTACGAAAAAATATTTATATCGGAAACATGCAGGTTCAAAATTTATTTTACTTTGATCGATTTGTCATGGAATGATCCTAAGTAAAAAGAAAAAAATGACTAAATATTGCCTAAAATAACAGTAACATAAGTGATATTAAGTTAAAACGCATACAAACAAAATGTAATAAATAATTACTAAATTACATTACATACCAAGAGAATTCAGTCCTCCTCAATGAGGCGCTCATGTACATGGCCTTTCGGTTGAAGCTCTCATATCTGCGAGCAAATCGCTGGGACTTGTGATGCCTCACACCACTGAGATCCACCCCCATTGCGTCCATCAACAACGAAAACATCTCATAGCAAAGTCTCGGCTTCTTTGTGCGTGAACATTTGCATTTAATTTCAACGAAGGCAGCTGAATCTCTTGGGCAAAAAGTTCCATGAGAAAGCCTGACAGAAAACTGCGGCAGCTCATAAGAATGCCCTTCAAATTGGAAAATCGACAAAGCATTAAAACGTTCTTGGAATATCATCCTTCCGTAAGTCGCACGAGCATAGAAGTGAGGCCCAACAGTCTCGATAGCAATGACTTTGGAGCCGAGATGGTTGTCCCTCACCAGAGTGTAGTACCAACGGGGGTGCGATCTGGACCTGTAGTTGACTCCATAGATCTTGAAATGCCTGGGATTCTTGGTTGCTCCGATAGAGATGAGAAACCTTCCAAGACGACTGATCTTCTGAATTTTAGACTCATTTGGACGGCACTCGATTTCTCGAACAATTGCAAGAAGCATAATGAAACCGAAGGAATGACCAACAACTCTCCACAAACGCTCTCAACTAACACAGAACAAGAGCTACGTCTTTGGCATCAAGCTTGCCAACAAACCTTCCCTCCCGATGAATTTACCACACTATCAACACAACCTTATAAAACAATAAATTTACCTTATAATTTACAAATAATATCTTCAATTTATGTATACTTTTTATTAGAAAATGTAATTTTGTAACACTTCTTTAATTCTCTGATTAACGAGAGCTTAAAATTGATAAAAAGAAAAACATTATTCGTCTTTCTAGTTTGGATTAAAATTATTTTAAAACTTTAGGCCTATATTAGGACTTACAATGTATTTTATTTATCTATATTTATTTAAAATCAGGGTGACATAAATTATTTTTAATTATGTAATAATAAGACGATTTCTGAAGCTTGTTTATGAATTGTTTCGTAGACAACGTTTCGTAATTTAATCCAATTTGTATGGATTCATATTTTGAAGTGTGGAGAGTTATTAATGATTCTAGTTTAGATTTATGTCCCTCCAATCTATATTTAATCACAGTTCATGCCAATTGTTGTATAAATAACTAAATTTTCTTCTTCTTTTTTTAACGTCTTCTATTTCGTTTTTCATGTAGATTCAGTTATTTCTTAATTGATTACTATGGAATCAGAAATTTGAAATTATTTTGATGATGAATCATGGAAGAGTTTTGATTTGTTTTTTTAAAACTTTAAAACGTAAATGAAGGCAGTGGATCAGCTGATACGAAGGTTGTGTTCTCAAATTGTCTCTCAGTATTTGCCAATTTTTCAGCGGAATCTCTCTGATTATTCACTGAATACAGTTCAAATGTACATCAGAACAGTTGGTATTTACTGTTTGATATATATATATATATATATATATATAAGTTATGGTTAGAGGTAAGACAATATAACAGTTAATACTATCTATGAAGTGTAAACAAAGTGTAATACTATATATATGGCATTACTAAGGCAATAAAGTCAGTATTCTTTGAGTAACCACGTGCTTCATTTCGGATCCTTTTTCCCTTTTTTTTATTATTTCTTGTTCGAACTGACGTAAGTGGTGCCGAAACCCGGGACCTTTAGATTCAGTCGGGGAAGTAGTTTTTTTTTCTCTTTCTTTTCGTTGTTGTTATTAACGTCACAAGAAATAAAAAGAGGAAGGATGCCGAACGGAATAGGGCAACCACCAGCATCCACCGCACAACAGGTAGCACAGCAGGTAGCACAGGCGACACCGCCGACGGCACCACCAGCAGCACCGTTGGCTCCACCGCCGGCGTTCCCTCCGCTGTCAGAGGCGTTAGCGAGGGATTTTCCTCCACTACCTACGGAAACGTTGGCATCAGCACATGCAACTACGTTAGAGTGGTTGAAGGTGAGAACGGCGACGTCGCAGGATCTTAGGAGAGCGATATCCGACTTGGAAAGATTCGATGGAGGAGTAGGTGAGTTGAATCACTTCCTAAAAGGTGGCGATCGGGTGATATCGCGTATATTGGCTAAGGCGGAGAAAAACCTGATAGACCCGATGGACGCCAATGCATTAAGGGCAGCCCTGGTATGCCGGGTTAAGAGGAGCGTGCTGAATATGATTCAGGCTGATGAGGACACTCCATGGAATGTTGTGAAGGATCGGCTGAAGAAGGCGTTTGGAGGAGGTCGATGGGCGCCCGAGGAGGACATCTTGCAGATGTTCCGGGAAAGGAAACAGCCTCATCAGACCAACGGGCAATATGCTGCAAATCTGCTGGCACGATTTAACCACGTAACAGGGAAGACGAGGGAAGTGGCTGATGCGGTGGAAACGGGAGCCAGGATGGCATTTTTGTCAACCATCCTTAAAGTTCAGTTAGGGAGAGATACTGGAAAGAAGGATGGACTACCGAGGGACAAGAGCTTTGTGGAGTGTGCTCAAGAGATTGTGGAGAAAGAGAGGAGCAGTATCGGAGTCAGATGAGTCATCAGGGACATCGGGAACCGAGGAAGAGGAGACGGAGATAAGAAGAGCTCGAGGAGGAAGAAGTAGTAGGAGAAGTGGAGAAGGAGGAGCCGTTGCGGACAGGAGAGGAAGATCAGACGAATGAGGAGAGGAGCAGAGGAGAGGCAGCCACGCGGTAGTCAATAATATTGGAGGTGAGTGCGTTGGTTTGCCAATTATAAGTGTTGTGGGGAGGGGAAGTGTTTGGTAGATACGGGGAGCTCTAGTACAATATTATGTAAAAAATGCTGGAGGAATTGTGTGAAGGAGAGAGGATACCAGAAATAAAAAATTGTAAGTGTAAGTTGATTACTTTGGGTGGTCCTTGTAAAGTCGAGGGGGAGGTAGAATTAGATCTGGATCGATGGGTGGCCGGAATCGGGAAATTGAGGGTTCATGTGGTGGAGAATATGCCGAGAGAGTACGGAGGCATAATAGGGTGTGACTTATTAAGTAAGGTAAGGCCGAGGATAGATTACAGGAGTACAGGTTGGGTTGTTCGAATGGGAGGGAAGAAGTATCGGTGCAAGCGATTGAGGGTGGACGGGACAAGGAATGTCGGGGCAATAGAACAAGCGGAACATTGGGTACAGAGGATAAAGTGGGAGTACGCGGATATTTTTTTTAAAGACGGGGAAGTGTTGACTGCGACAGGGAAAACGGTCCATGAAATTCCTTTAAAACAGGAGAAAGTGACATACGTTAAGGAACGACGTTATCCGCAAGCGCTACGGAGACACATCAAGGATGAGATAGAGAGCTTGAAGAAGCAAGGCATAATCGTGGATAGCATGTCACCGTACAACAGTCCCCTATGGGCAGTGAAGAAGAAGACCACGACAGGGGAGGAGAAGTATAGGGTAGTGGTAGACTTCAGGAAGCTCAACGACAATACCTTGGATGAGAAATACCCGCTCCCACGATTTGAGGACATCATTGACAGACTGAGCGGAGCCACAATCTTCAGCACTCTCGATCTAAAGGCAGGTTATCACCAGATACGTATGCATCCCAGGGATCAACATAAGACAGCTTTTTCATTCGAAAGGGGGCATTATGAGTTTACTCGCATGCCGTTCGGGTTGAAAAACGCTCCTATAACCTTCCAGAGGTTTATGGACGAATTTTTGAGGGGACTGGATGAAGCATTCTGCCAGGTATATATGGATGATCTCCTGGTCTTCAGTAAAAATGAAACGGAACACATTGATCATTTGCGCCGCGTATTTGACAGAGTGAAGCAGTTGGGGTTAAAATTGTCTGCTGAAAAGTCGATTCTGGGGCAGGATGAGATCAATTTTCTGGGACATTCGATTTCGAGGGAAGGGATCAAGCCTGATAAGCAGAAGGTAGAGGCGATACAAAAGATGGCGATGCCCAGAGATGTCAAGGGGATCCGGAGATTATTGGGGACGTTGAATTATTATCGTCGGTTTGTCCCAGAGATGGCGGAATATCTAGCACCTCTTAATAATCTCCTAAAGAAAGGCCGGAAGATCGCAATAACACCAGCGATAGAGAACAACGTGCGGAAGTGCATGGCAAGGTTGCAAGAAAAGCCGGTACTTGCTTTTCCCGATTTTAACAAGGGTTTTATTATCACCACTGACGCAAGTGAGTATGCGTTGGGAGCAGTACTTGCGCAGGAAGGAACAGCCAATAGCGTATGCGAGCCGGCGACTCATAGAAGCGGAAACAAGGTATAGCGCCCTGGAAAGGGAACTCTTGGGAATAGTATGGGCGGTCGGGCATTTTAGACCGTATATTTTTGGTCGGAGGTTTAAAATACAGACCGATCACAAACCGTTGCAGTGGGTGAGCAACCTGAAGGAATCATCGGCAAGGGTCACGCGATGGAAGCAGTTCCTAAGTCAATATAAAATGGAGGTCAGGTATAAGCCAGGCAAGGATAACATAGTAGCGGACTGGCTGTCCAGAGCCGTAATGATAAATGCCATTGAGGAGGAAGAAGGGGAGTCGTCGCAGGACGTGCGGCAGTTTTTGAGAGCATGGACACCGGAAGGTGAAGGGGAACCCGGGGATGCGAGGACAGAGGAATCGAGAGGAGAAGAGAGCTCGGTGGATGAAAGGCTTACCGACATGGAGGAATGTGAGGAGATCATTAACGATAAGCGACGACAAGTAATTTGGAAGACCAGAACGTCGGGGCTTATGAAGATCGACTTCACTAAATATGGGAAGAAGAAAATTAATACCATTTGGTCCCAACCAGGGGTGAAAGAGGAACAGATTTGCAAGGCTTTGCACGGCGCTTCGGAGTCGGGGAAAATTCACCATCTGTATGTAGGCAATGCAACCATTTGGGAAAAGATCAAGAAACTCTGGAGTGCAGAGAAAATAGGTGTCGACAGGTCATTTATTAAATGTAAATACTTGGTTGAAACGTTAATGGACAGGGAGCAGCAAAGGGAGGTGACACTGGCACATCACCAGGGCAAGACGAACCATCGGGGGTACAGGAAAGATTCCACGCACTACGCAGGAGATATTATTGGGATGGTATGCGGAAAACGATCTCGGAAGTCATTGGAATGTGCGAAGTGTGCGCGCGCACTAAGTATGACAGACGACCACCTCAGGGAGTACAAGAAGAAACCCCTACAGGAGATACGCCGTTGAAAGATTTGCAAATCGACACATTCACGTGGAGAGGATTTAAATGGGTTACCATGATAGACCTCTTTAGCAAAATGGCAATGGCACATCGGGTACAGGATAGGTCGGCGGAGGCTGTCGTGGGGGCTCTCCAAACGTGGGTCCAGTTCTATGGAGTGCCAGATCGCATAACGTCGGACGGAGGCAGGGAGTTCGACAGCAGTACCATCCGAGAAGAAGCGAAGCGCTTGGATATAGTTTGGCACTTCAATACACCGGGACATCCAAAGGGCAGGGGAGGTATCGAGAGGTTGCACGGCACCCTAAGTGATCACCTACGTATATATCAGGGGGAGCAGGGATTGGAAGCGGACGTA